TTTGATATAATAAATAGAAGTCTTGTATGTGTTTTTCTTTATATCGTCTGTTACATTATTTTATATTTCATATGTATCGTACTAAATATTTTATTTTCATATATTACAAGTCATTATCTTATCATGAATGACAAACAAATCTAACTCCATGCAGCAGGAAAATATTGTAATTTTTCATGTATCGTACTGAAATCTACTGTAATTTTTTTTTCCTTCTTTTTTCATTTCCAAAGTTGCTCTAAGTGTAGGAAGTGCTTCTTGTATTACCTAAACTTTTCATGATTAATGATATTTACTATTTAGCAAAAAAAATTTTAGTCTTGTGTCGTTTCATTAGTATAAGTCATCATCATTTTGTTATATTTAGTGGATATATCTATCGCCCTATTTAAGGATGTTTTGTGAATATATATAGCTTGGCTTTCAAAGGCTTAAAACGATAAAATCAAAAATTAGCTTGGCAAGCTTCAGTTTTTGAGATTTGGAACTAGAAATTTAGTTTCTTGTGTGTACGTATAATTAATAATTCCAATGGTTGAAGGTTTAGTTCGGAATTGAGAGATTAGGATTCGAATTCTTCACTTGCAATTTAGTAATGGTAAGACACTATTGATTTCTTAAATGGCCACACAAAAAAAAAAAAAATTTGTATTCCCACATATGTACTTGGAAAAATAGTATGAAATATTACAAAGACAAGTAGACGACCAATCTACAACAGAACCCATATACTAGATGTGCTTCAAATTCCATAAATATAAGTTTAGGGACTCTTAGAGCACCCTTAGAGCATGTTTAATGGTGATTCAATGTGGGTATCATTAAATATAAAATTATTAAAATTTNAGTTNAANNAAGAAAGANAGTGTTTTTNGTTNAAATANTGNNGTGTATTGAAATATAAAATTAATAAAATTTGAGTAAAGAGAAGAGATAGTTGATATTTTTGGAGAGAGGGTATCAAATAGTTGATACTTTTGATACTTTGGAAGAGAGAAAAAGAGAGTGTATCAAATGTTTTTAATAATTTTATATTTAAAGAGAGTATAAAATTAATAAAANTTGANTAAAANGATGAAAGANAANGTATAAAGTTNANTAAAAGNAANAGAGAGTGTGTTTTTAATATTTGTTTATTCAACTGATACTCTCATTGTATCATGGTTGAACATGCTCTTATAGGTAATATTTCACAAGATTTTTAAGTATTAAAAAAATCAAAAATATTAAAAGACACAAAAAACTATGAGATTCAATATCAAAAAGTATCTCATTTAAGACCCGAGTCTTAAGTTTTTGTGACACTGAATTGCCAGATGTAGTAATAAGATTGGTAAGTATTTTTTT